ACGCTTACTGCAATGATCTCATATGCAAATGACAGAAGACAGGCCAATACCAGCAGAGAGTGTCCAGATTAGTTTCAAATCACGCATGAGTAGAGGATAGCAAAGGAAACAACCAACTTGTTTTATTACGAAATTTACAAAGCTGAAATGTTTGGCCACTTCTACTTCGGCCCAGCGACGTCGAGCAACCAATCCCCCTCCTCCTCTCATGTATGTACATGCTCACTCTCCCTCACGTATGTACATGCTCTCTCGCTTGCTGCCTCACGCCTCTCGCTCTCTATCTCTCTTACTCTCTCGTCCTGCTTGCTCTCTAGTCTGGACCAGTCCCTGAATACACCCGCCTCCTCTATCTCCAGCGGCTATGGCCACTGGCTGCTTCTTCAACCCAGCAGCTATGGCTGCCTTCTTCCTCGTCACCTCCAGCTTACTTCGCGTCGTCCTCTTCGTCACCTTAGAACACAGGTTTGCGATGGTCGCACAAGCCGTGCAGTGCTTCCACAATGTGCAACTCTGAATGCCTCGTCAAGGCACTGTGCTTGCTTATATAGTTGCATGGACTGGGTTGGTCTGCCTGGACCGATACCAGCCACAGTGGGCCTGTGTGCCTGGTGCTGCATGTTTCCACAGTACCGGTACCTTCTGGGAAGGCTGCTGCAAGTTTGGATTTTCAACTTCTGGACTTTTCCGTTGGTACTCGGCTCAACCAGTGCGACTTGACTTCCGGACTATTCTATCCAGTACCACGCCCAACAAGTAACAACTTGACTTCTGGATTTTTCCTAACCTGGGCCTGCAACAAGTTGAAACTGAACCTTGCTGACCTTAACGGGACTGGAATCTTCTGGACTGGGCCCTTGGCCCACAAGTATTTTTACATTTTTCCTGCGAATCTGCAAATTGGGCCTCAAATCTGCGAATTGGGCCTGGGCCTGAGGGCTTGAGATTTCCTGAGACCCGACAGGGCTTGCCTCATAATCACCTGAATCCTTTCATTACTTACCGATGAATTAAAAATCAGGTGGAGAGTTGAAAACCAAGTTTGTAAAATTAAAAATTTCCATTCTTTCAACCATTACGCACTTACCCGTACACTGCCACGCAATGTTAGCTTAGTACCCCCCACTGCGAACTCTCGTTTCACCATCAGTGCCTTTGTCGGTAACAATTGAACCTTTGCCTGCAAGCCTGTTCTCCCAAGAACAGAGCCCAACCACACCAACAATGATAATCAGAGCAGTAAATAAATACATAAACACAAAAATAACATAAATACATAAATACATAAATACACAAATACATAAATACATAAACAAGTAAATGTAATCACAAAAACATAAACTACTGACAGGCGGGGATTCAACTATTTCCCTTCCCTCAAAGAGACTATGGGGCAGGCCCCAGCAGTGCTACTAAGTTAGTGCAAACCTGGTTGTAAATTTTTGGTTGATTCCTTCTAACGAAGGACAACCGTAGCACCAGTGCTTTCTCCTGTCCTAACAAGGGAAGCAACTTCACTGAGCATTTACGGATCCACAACTTGTTGAATTAGGAACTCTTCTGCACATGCCTCTCAATATTTCTTCTTTCTTTCCTTCTAATGCTTCCTCAATTTGTGACTCCAATCATCTTTGTGCAGGGACCATGTTAATCTTTTTCTTTTTTTTTGTTTTGGCTACCTGTGCTGGGGTGTGGGGAGGGGCATGGTAATATTCTCTGGGCCTTTGTTCCAACGGGCGTTCTGCAGTAGGATAGAGATGGTGTAATACAGTTTTATCGACTTCAGAATTTGGGAGAAAAATCACTTACAAGTTACAAATTACAACTTACAAGAGCTATCCACACGCACGATCATTCTGAAATGATCCAAGTTCTCACCTAGCTCAGCCTCACAACCATGCCATGAACATTCACATCAGAGTTCACACGTGAGAATCAAAGCCCAGATACAATCAACACACACAGAAGCCATCACCAAATTATTATCATTATACAAGAAATGTTTATGTCGCCAGCGGCACCGTCGCACACACACGCAATCAGAACTGATCTCAACCCCGTTGGCGGCTATGGCTCCCCTCTCCTCTTTTACTCTCTCTGTTTGGAAGGCTCTCTCTCTCTCTCTCTCTCTCTCTCTCTCTCTCTCTCTCTCTCTCTCTCTCTCTCTCTCTCTCTC